TTCCCACACAAAAATTTTACACCATGTCACATCGAACATTTGAACACCTACATGAACTATTAAATAGGCTAAAAAAATAACTAATTAGACAGATTACGACTAATTTACGAGATGAATCTTTTAAGCCTAATTACTACATGATTTGACAATGTGGTGCTACAGTAAACATTTGCTAATGATGGATTAATTAGGCTTAATAAACTCATCTAGCTGTTTACGGACGGATTATGTAATTAGTTTTTTTATTAGTGTCCAAACACCCCATGTGATACCCTATAAAATACTCAATGTGACACATCAAAACTTTACACCCATGGATCTAAACACCCCCTAAAACTACAAATTTGGCAGTCAATTTATCACAAAACTATATATTTAAGGTCAAGTATCACAAAACTACAAATTTCATATCGAAGTTATCACAAAACTACCAATGTAATATTGAAGTTATCACAAAACTACAGATTCTATCTAGTGTTTAAATCCCTAGTACTAACACTATGTTGGAGGAGTAAATTCCCTTTATACCCTCGAAAACTCACTCAATCCCTTTTGTACCCCTGAAATTTACCCGATCCCTTCTATACACCTGAAATTTCAACTTGATCTCTTTCATGACCCTGCCGTTACATTTTCCTTCATCTCACTATTAAGTTTGGTGGCAAATGTCTTTAATAACCTTGATGACGTAGGTTTGAATATAACCTTGAAAAAGATTGAAATTTTGTTTGAATGCACAACATGTGCATTTTATGTAACTACCGATACTAAATAATTAGTGCGGAAAATTTTGACATAAATTTTAAAATAAAACAAATGTAATAAATTAATTTTTTATTTGAAATTTAATAGGACAATATTTTTTTATCGGGAGCATTCATAAAAAATATCGTGAGCATTTGTAGTCCTATCTTTATATGAATGCTCCTCAATTTTTATGAATTTTTAAAAAATAAAATAAATACATATTTTTATTTCATTATCTAAAAATATGTTTTTTCATAAATAATATATCGCACAACAAACTCATCACTATAATAGTCTCATGCAACAAACTTTTATATTTTCAATAATATAATTCATAAATTTCTATGTTCATTCAAAGGGTAAAATGGTCATTTTTATAGAAATTAGACGGTCAACTGACAGAAGGGGCATGGAAGGGATCAAAATCAAATTTTAGGGGTATATAAGGAAGTAAGCAAGATTCAGGGGTATAGAAGAGATTAGATAAAATTTTAGGGGTTTACAAGGGATTTTCTCTTGTTGGAGCTATAAACATTGTAATTTCGGGATAAATTGATACTAAACTTGTAGTTTTGTGATAAATTTCCTACTTAATATTTATTCTGGGACACTTTGTTCCTAAATCTATAATTTTGTGAGAAATTTCAAGGTAAATCTATAGTTTTGTGATACAAGACCTTAAATTTGAAGTTTTTTTTTTATAGTTTAGTTAAAGCATATATCTGTAGTTTTGTGAAATTTACTCTTAAGAAAAGTCATTAAAGAGATGTTGCTTCATTTATTTTGAAACATACGACGCATTTTATAGGGGTTTTAATTAATTTATTTCTAATTAAAAATTAGTAAAGAAATGGCTAAATGGTCCTCCTTAATATGGAGATATAATAATTCCTGATTGATGTTCATTTCCAGATCAGTTGGGAAGGAATATAAGTGGACTGTGTGCTTAAGTTAGTCCAGTGGTATACACACGAGATGCGCATCTGTAGGTGTATATATAAACTCCTACATGTTAATTTCGTCTTATTACTACGTGCTTACACCAGTTCAAGCCAAATATTCATTCTTTCGGATTTCAGGTCTAATTTCGTGCTATTTATTTTGTTGTGATGTGTTTCACTATCAAAGATATTTTTAAACATGACTTATATTTTTTTTAATATTTGTATTGAGTTACTAGTGAGATGAATGATCAAATAAATTTTCAAAAGTTAACGATGTTATATATTTTAAAGCAGAATGAGTAGAAAACTAATGGTGCTATAATCTTGTCCGGTGCCACTATTAACATGTAGGAGTTTATATATAAACGCCTACATATGCGCATCTCGTGTGTATACCACTGGACTAACTTAAGCACACGTATGTAGAGGGCCATGGTAGTAGGTAGGCTGTACGGCAGGAGAGGTGGTAGTGGTTTGCACACGTATTGAAAAAAATTTGTGAAATATGTAAAACTATATGTGTACATGAAAGTATATTTAACAATAAATTAAATGATATGAAAAGAATAAATAATTACTTAAATTTTTTGAATAAGATGAATGATCAAACACGTACTAAAAAGTCGACGGTGTCAAATATTTTGAAATAGAGGGAGTATATGGTTGGTTAAGAAGCTTGGGTTGGAGCCTTAGTACTACTGTACTAGGAGTTGAGAGGATATAAAGATGAGTACATCCATATTATGGATTCCATAATGTAAAAATAGAAAGTGTCTTAAACCTTTAAGAGCTATTTATATATTGTGTGAATAATTTTATAGGAATCTATTAATTGGTTGACGTAACCATTTACATAAAGCCGACCACAAACAATAGAAAATTCACTCTTCCCTCCCTTATGATGCTGCTACTCTGTCTCACAGTTGCTTGCTGCCATGGGCGAGGGGAGAAGGTGGGGAGCCAGCTATGGAAAAGGGGAAGAAGGCGGGGAGCGATGGATTCTAATCTACATGTCATCTAAATAATTATGAAAAAATTAGAAAAAAAATTTACAAGATGGGTTAACATGTAATATATCACTCCGCAAACATGCAAGTTCAAATTCGACTTGTACAAGTTGTAACAAAAATAACAAATTAAACTCTAACTAGTATATGTATATTCACAGTCAAATTTATTATTTTTGTTACAACTTGTAGAAGTCGAATTTGAACTTGCATGTTTGTGAAATGATATATTACATGTTAACCTATCATGTCATTTTTTTCGAAAATTTTTTATAACTATTTAGATGACATGAAAAAAACGGATGGACGTCCACCCGAGTGTTTAAAACGGTTTCCCTGGGAGCAAACACCGCAAAGGGCACCTGCATGCATGAAATTTACGTTGCCAGAAGCGCATTGTTACCACCGCCGGAGATCCATCCGCAAGTACCAATACTGCCGTCGTTGGATCCTTCCGCTCCCTACGCCATATCATTGCCTTTATCGGATCCACTCGCATACGTGAGCACCGCCGCAACCGTCGTCCCCGAATCCGTGCATGTCCACGACCACCGCCATTGAATTAATCCATTCGAGTTCCATTGAGGTGCTCTCATTGGGATATGGTGTGAGGAAAAATCGGATGCTGCGGGAGAAGAGGTTGGTTGGGATGATAAATAATTTATTAAAATGTGGTATCTACTTTAGTACCCCTTCTTACCATATACATTATGGAGATGCAATCCTATATACTTATATAGTTCATCCTCACTAAGTGTAGTTAATGATATTTCTCTCTTTTCTTATTAAGCCATATCACCCCAATTATTTCTAGCCTTTGGATGATAGATCTATGGTCCAAATTGTCTCTTTTTTCTTCTCTCTTAAAAACATGCAATCTCAATTATTTTTAGGCTCAAAATTGTTTTAGTTTTGATAATCAAATTACATCTTATTTATACATATTATGCAACTTAATTTTCCGCAGTAATGTGGTGGGGTATTCATCTAGTATACTTTAGTGGATCCTAAAGTAAGGCTTAACCATCAGATCAGAATTTGAAGAAAATCCCATTATAACAAACTCTAGTTTTGTTTTTAATTTGTTTATCTTATAGTACAATACTACATAGCACAGTTGTATTTCAAACGTTTTTCTTTTTTTTTTGAGAACATTCAAACGGTACTATATATATATGTTTGGATTATCCGCACGTTGGCACAGTTTTATGTCAAATCTTAATGCAAGTGTGACCAATAATTTGTTAATCATATATACTTATGCAAAGGTTTAATAAATAATTTAGTACTATGTTAGACAAGGGACAACTCACAAGTATACCATGCGCCCAGTTGTAGCAAGCAGGTGAACCCAAATTAAACACTCACCTTATACAAATTAAAAACGTAGCGTGTCTAACGTTTGGCGCGTGACATGCATCCAAACAAAAACAAGAATTAATTTCTCTGTCTTAATTAATTTTGAGGATCTCCATGTAATTTTTGACTGAAGAGATGCATGCGAACAAACTCGATCTGGAGGCATATTACGGAGCGGCATCTGGGTGTATAAGGTCCGAGGAATGTCCCTCTCTGACCACCCATTAACACTACCAAAATAAAATATTATCACAAAAACGTTTTAATTAAGCTTTCGGTTTTGTCCACTACCCCACCTTTCTCTCCGCAAGAATCATTCGCGCGCCCCTCTCGCCCTTCGCTATCGCTACACACCACATACATAAATACATACACGTATATATATACATAGTCCATAGGTATATATGCATAGGTACATGCGTCTACGTACGGAAGAAAACATGTACTTCCTCCGTTTCAGGTTGACTTTGGTCAAAATTAAGCGGATTTAAGTTTGACCAAATTTGTAGAAAAAGGTAGTAATATTTTCAATCCAAGACAAATTTATTGTAAAAGTATATTGAATTATTGATTTGATGAAAATAATTTAGTATTATAAATATTATTATATTTATCTATAAATTTAGTCAAACTTGAAACAATTTAACTTTGGCTAAAGTCAAAAAGTCTTATGTCCTCCAAGTGAAAAGATTACTTACTCTGACATGAATATATCTCTGACGATAGTTTACAGGTTAATTTACACTACATATATATTTTGCTGTATATACGTCGGTGATAGATATATATGTACGAGACATTTGGTGTGTATACGTACGTTTGCATGCATGCACGGTACACGTGGTGTGCATACGTAATAGTTATCCTTAAGAGAGCGGTAATGGCGAGGGAAGTGGGCTATAAATAGGCAGGTTTGGATAGGTATGGGGCTAACTAGTTTTGCTAAATCTGCACTTATATATACGCACTGCATCCCCCCGCGCTTAACTCGCTCTCGCCTCCCGCATCGCATCTCCATCATCTCCCCATCCTCCTCTCTACTCGTGTCTTCCATTCCTCCATCCCTCGCGCGCATCTCCGACGAGCTCTCTACTCCCTCCTCCGCCGCCGACGATGATTCACCTCCACTCCCCGCCGACGGCGCCCGCCGCATTCGGCGGCGCCGGCTCGGCGGACTGGCGGCGGCGGCGGCGGTGGTCATGGTCGTCGTCGTCCCGCGCTCCGGTGGCTAAAGGTGGTTGTGCATTTCGATATATCTTGGCCGGTCTATACGTTTCTTCAGTCGATCGGTCGATCTCTTTAATTACTTACGTCGTCTCTCTGTGCAGGTGGCCATCTTCGTCCGTGCGTTTGGCGGCGCGGCGGCGACGACGGCGGCGGCGAGGATCATCACGCCGACGGCGGCGGCGGCGGCGGAGGAGGAGCGGCGTGGAGGGCGCGGGCCACCACCGCCGGCGTGTCGAGCTCCAGCAGTACAGCCAAAGGTAGTATACGGGCTCATGAGAGATCTTTCTTCCGCCGCTTTTGGTCTTGTCGTTTTCCGGGTCGTCGACGAGGGTGAGTCAGTGAGTGCACTGCATGCTTTATTCACTGCACTCCTGCACCTGCATAGCCTAGTGAGCAGCTGCCTTTGGTTGTGCCAACGCTTTAGTTTCGTTCAGAGATCACTTTAGGTACATAGATGATCTACACTGTGTGGGGGGAGGAAGAGACTCCTTCAAAGATCATTGATGTGGTCGCTGAACATATGAACCCGATCGAAGAACAGTAGGATCTATATATGTCGGCGATTACGTTCCTCTGACTTTACGATAGTCGAAGGATTCTGATCAACTGCGTTGTGACGCTGGGTTATGTGATGAGGGTAAAAAGTAGTTTTGTTTTTTTGGTTTGTGGACTTTGGGTTCATGCATAGTCACTGAACAGAGGAGGACAGAGATAGATTTAGTTTGGATGGAGGTTCTCGGGAGAGAATATATAAAGTGGGTAGAATTTTTTGAGAAGTTACTTTGAGGATATAAAGCTAGTTGATTTTTCGTTGGCGGATTTACTTTTTCTATAGAAAAAGTATTACCTCTTATAGTAAGGTAAATTAGTGGCTCGGGACACACAGCTTGAGATTATGTCGGTGCTTAAAATGACGTGAGTTTTTATCTGTAGCGATTGATTGACACTTCTGAATTATTAGGCATGCCATGAAGTACAATCAAGTTCACCACCGCCTCTTACCTATGTAAACAGTTACCTTATTGTGTAAAAAAAAAACTGGAAATAATTATTTTATTTTTGTGAAACATTGTACACGCGGGCACTCATATAAATGCACATACACACATACCCTACTCATATGACCACCTCCAAACACTGAACTAATACTCCCTCCGGTTCTATATTAATTGACGTTTTGGACAAGGTTGAGGCTAAACTTTTATAACTTTGACCATCAATAACTTTAAAAATATTTAGTTTAAAGAAACTAGAAAAACATATATAGATTTGTCTTTCAAAACACTATAATAAAAGTAAACATGCATTTATTTATTGTATATATTATAATAGAAAAATAAGGTCAAAGGTATATCTTATAGAGCGTGTTATTGTTCAAAGCATCAATTAAAATGAAACCGGAGGGAGTATAATATATCTTGAAATTTATGGAGACAGAAGAGAAGCCTCGCTGTCAGCATATCTTGAAAATAATTATTTGTAAACAGTTACCATCTTTTAAAGTATTATCGTTGGGGTGCAATAATTTTTTTAATAAAATTTGCAGAAAAAAAAACCTTGGTTTGATTTGTATAACAACACAATAATCTTTTGTGTGAAATTCACTTAAATCTCTACTATTATAAAAATTGAACCATGGTTTGATTTGTATAACACCACAACAATCTTGCATTGTGTGATATTCACTTAAAAGAACCATGGTTTTACTTATATCTCTACTATTATAAAAATTGATGATGTTTTTACCAGTATTTTGGTACGTCATTCGTGTATGAATTGATTTTTTAAGTTTGTTCGTTTTTGGAAATATAGATCTGTAGTTGAGTTGGGTTTTAAGTTTGTTCGTCTTTGGACATACAAAAGGAGTTGTATAAGAAATATAAAACTTGCATGCTAACTTGAGATGATGGGACTTCTAATTGCAGCTCATGATTTTCTAGAAAAATATATATCCAAGCGAATTTTCAAAGTAAATTTCACCTTAACTAAACCATATAACAATAAAAAGATTAAAATAGGTTTCACCCGTTGCAATGCACAGACTTTTTTCTAGGAATAGTGATAAATCAAATTGGACGAAAACTGAACGGCAGTTTGTCTCCGAAATTCAGTTTTTGGAAGTTAATCTCCAATCACGTCCATAAACGCATAAATGCTGAAGACAAATTAATATGATATATAAACAGAACCAACAAGATAAAAAAGAACAAATCAATTGCCTATTCTGCAACTAGTTAGTGTTGTCGTCGCTCTTGCAGTCCATTCAGTGTTGTGTGGATTCAAATATATCGTACGATGTCGCAATCAATTGGCATATATCGCATTTATCTTTCCAGCAGCTGTCAAATTAATAAAGCTGTTCACTGCGAGTTAGACTGTTCATTATTCGTTGTTTCTACCAGAATCCAGCATCATTATTCGTTGTTACTATCACAACTGTTGATCGGTTGAATTTTACAAAAAAATCTCAATGCAAGATTGTTTGTATCTATCCAATTTTTTTTATTGATGTACGGGTTTGTTCTGGGGGACCTTGTTCTCTTTGTAAGGCATGCTTTGCTTTAGCCAAATGGCCAGCATATCAATTTGGTTATCGAATAAAATTGGCCCAAGATTCGATCGATTGGGCTTGGACTGGGACTTGACGTTGTGTGTCGCGTAGATTTGCCACATCAGACTAGCACTGCAGATACAGGATTAGATTTAGGGGTCAGTTTCATGAATCCTAAGATTTTTCAACTGAGAATAAATGTTAAGAGATTATAGCAAAAGAAATGCATGGTTGAATATAATATTTATTCCCATCGATCCTAGTCAATAAAATTATATATGTTGCCCTTGATACTTGGGCTAGCTCTCGTGAATCTCCAATGCCTTTAGGTTTCATATTTTGAATTGCCCTATAGTTTCACGTATTATATAGGATGACTTATTAGTTTGTGAAGAAGTACAAGTATAATTTAGTTGGGCTCCACAATATTTTTTTATAATGCAAATTAATGTACTCCCCCATCCTAAAATATAAGGCACAACCATCACTAAAAAAAACCAAGAAAAAAATTAATTACGTACTCAGTTGAATCACCTCGATGCATACAACTAATGTGATTGGGGGTTTGATGGTAGAGGAGTTAAAACAAAGCGAAATTAGAGGAAGATGTGCTAGTTAATGTATATATGCCATGAACTTTTTGTGCCTTATATTTTTTAGATGGTGGACAAGGTGTATTTGACATTGGGATACGCTGATCAAGTGAAAATACAAAAATAGGTTGTCTAGTTTTCAGTCTCCGGAATGCTGAAAGGTGAGAAAAACGGCATCTCATCATTTAAGAGAGACAAAAGTTTAATGTGATAGTAACATCTATTTTTTGACGTGCTTTTAGTAACATCTTAATAAAAGTTGTATTCTTCCTCATCTAATAGTAGTAAACGGTAGAGCTTTTTTGGCTAGTTGCTTAAAAATGGGAAATACTTTTGGAACATCATCAAAACTTTCTCAAACTTTAAATGCTGTGAGCCTCGTGCGCAGTTACAACGATCAATAGAGGCAGCTCACAGAAGCTTAATTACAGAGAAGTGAAGCTTAATTAGGATACATATCTTAATTAAGATACTCCTACATCCTTCGAGTATACAGTTGACATTGAAACTTACTCCCATCTGTTCCCATATTCCCTAATAAATCAAAACGGTTTATTAGAAACAAAAATTAATCTATAGGTAAAACTTTTATATATTTATTCTTAGCGATAATCTACGTTGAAAATATCTTAAAATCAACTTTAAACTTAAATTTTAAATTTTAAATTTTAAATTTTGACTTTTGCCTTGGTTTATTAGGCCAACCGATGAGGCCATTATATGTTCTCTCAATTGAGAGGTTCAAACTGCATATAAGCTTCAGTTCTATGTATACTCCAAAATCCAAACTGTGATTTGGATCCTGCCAGAGCAACAGGCCAACTGCATTGGATTCTCTTTTCTGCCCACTGAGAATGTCGTTGTCTCGTATTTTTGTTACAGATAATCCCAAAATGGTCCAGAAGCTTCCGAAAAATAGTATCTCTTAGATTTTTAGGGCTTGTTCAGTTTGATTTGCAATGTCAAATTCTGGTAAGACAACAAACTAAATGAGACTTTACCATCACACGACCTTATCAATCCTTACCAACATTTGGTAATTCTAAAAACTTCTACTCACAAAACTATACCAAAAACATGCGGCACATACGTACGCCATATACAAGCGATACTCAACACTTTGCTCATGAAATCATGCTGTTTTCTTTTTTTTCTTTTGGCATTTATAAATGGAAATGCTGTAATCCATGTGCAGGGCTGCAAGCCAACATCATCGAACATGAGACCCCCCGGATCACGAAATGGCCCAATGAATCACGCGACCTCGACGATCACCAACAAAACAACGAGGTGAATCATCCACTACCTTCTTACAGTAATCATTCATGGTCACATTCTTCTCGTACGTAATCTCATTAAGCACATTTTGATTAATTAATTAATTTGTTTACGTCAGGCTGATGAGGAGGCAGATGATGAGCTGCAGCCACTGGTCGAGCAGGTGAGGTCGATGCTGTCGTCCATGGAGGACGGCGCGATCACCGCGTCGGCGTACGACACGGCGTGGGTGGCGCTGGTGCCGCGGCTGGACGGCGAGGGCGGCACGCAGTTCCCGGCCGCCGTGCGGTGGATCGTCGGCAGCCAGCTCGCCGACGGGTCGTGGGGCGACGAGGCGCTCTTCTCCGCCTACGACCGCGTCATCAACACCCTCGCCTGCGTCGTCGCCCTCACCAGATGGTCCCTCCACCATGACCAGTGCAAGCAAGGTATCATCAGTAATAATTCATTTATCACAGATTAGTGAAGTTCAGTTAATTACAGTCTTTGTGTTACAGTTTCAGATAGGTTTGTTACAGTTAACTTTTCAGATAGATTGTTAATGCAGTCTGTGAGATAGACAGTTTGAGATAGGTTTGTTACAGTTATTTTTTCAGATAGATTGTTTTCTAGATAAAGGATTTATATAAAACCCGGCTTTTACATCCCAAAGAAAGTACACAGCCAACCTTTTCAGATAGATTGTTAATGCAGTCTGTGAGATAGACTGTTATTTAATAACAATCCTTTTACAGTTTCAGATAGATTGTTGGTTACTCCCTCGGTCTAATACATCTAGATTCGTAGTACTAGATTGTGTTTAATCCGGTAGTGCTAAGTTGCTATAATTTAAGACGGAGGGAGTAATTAATTTGAAGGTGATGATTAGTTAGTTCCAGATTGCAAGTGAGGCAATGTGTGAGATGATGTTGATGTTTTCTGAATTTTTTGCTCTTGTTCAGGGCTTCAGTTTCTGAATCTGAACTTGTGGAGGTTAGCAGAGGAGGAGCCGGATACGATGCCGATTGGGTTTGAGATTGCATTCCCTTCTCTTGTGGAGGCAGCTAGGGGTTTGGGTATTGATTTCCCATATGATCACCCTGCTCTCAAGGGCATTTATGCAAACAGAGAACTCAAGCTTAAGAGGTATAAATCCATACGCGTCGTATGTATAATATCGTGACCGCTGTCGTGCATCTGTAGTTGGTGCAGAGATCGGAAGTTACTTTCATTATCTTACAAAAGATATGTATATAGTGGCAAACATTGGAGAGCTTAACTAGTTAAAACTTGATGACGCTTGTCTTTTGTTGACAAAAACTCACAATGTAGGATTCCAAAGGACATGATGCATATAGTCCCAACTTCAATTCTGCATAGCCTTGAAGGGATGCCTGGGCTGGATTGGCAGAGGCTTCTGAAGCTCCAATGCAGTGATGGATCCTTCTTGTTCTCCCCTTCAGCTACTGCTTATGCTCTCATGCAGACCGGTGACAAGAAATGCTTCGCGTACATCGACAGGATCATTAAGAAATTCGACGGAGGCGGTAAAAGATTCGTGGCATTTCACTGACCAATGTTTCGGAAATCTGGTTTGCTACAGTGCACTAGGTGCCATTTTGTGGCAGCTGATCTCAGATCATGTGATGTTGAAAATTTTTTCAGTTCCGAACGTTTACCCGGTCGATCTTTTTGAGCACATATGGGTTGTCGATCGGTTGGAGCGTCTTGGGATATCGCGGTACTTCCAACGAGAGATTGAACAGAACATGGACTATGTCAACAGGTTTTTCATAATGTTTTGTTTTATTAGCGCAATTATTTTCTCAAACTGATATGTGTGGTGTCTTCTGTAGTTACTTTAGGAACCTTATGAGCAGAGTTTTTTAACCTGTGTTTCTCACTGTGTAGGCACTGGACTGAAGATGGGATTTGCTGGGCTAGGAACTCCAATGTAAAAGAAGTGGATGACACCGCTATGGCTTTCCGTCTACTACGCCTCCATGGATACAATGTATCACCAAGTATGGAGCTGTTTTTCTTCTTTCAAATTCAGATGAAATCACATATCCTGGGAAAAACTGTATCGTGTTACGCTTCAAGATCATATTACCTTTTCTGAATCACAAATTGCTATTGTAAATTCAGGTGTGTTCAAGAATTTTGAGAAGGATGGGGAGTTCTTCTGTTTTGTGGGGCAATCAACTCAAGCAGTCACTGGGATGTATAACCTGAACAGAGCATCTCAGATAAGTTTTCCAGGAGAAGACATTTTGCAGCGTGCAAGGAATTTCTCATATGAGTTCCTTAGAGAAAGAGAAGCCCAGGGGACACTTCATGATAAATGGATCATCTCCAAGGACCTACCAGGAGAGGTATAATCTAGTTACTTTTGATTGTAGCATAATTTCTTTATAAACTTCATAGTACATTATTTTAAATTTGTTCTCTTTGCAAATATTTACCAGTTCCTGAGTACTGATATAACATTGCACTGAATCAATAGGTACAATACACACTAGATTTTCCTTGGTATGCGAGCTTGCCACGCGTCGAGGCAAGAACATACATAGGTCAATATGGTGGAAATGATGACGTCTGGATTGGAAAGACACTCTACAGGTTAAAGTTTTCACAACTTTGTTCCAACTTCAAACATTGTTCAATATGATTATCTTCAAAATAATTGAAGTTAAGATTTGCTGATAATTGTTGGGTGCCTTTTGTCAGGATGCCAATTGTGAATAACGCTACATATCTCGAGTTGGCGAAACAGGATTTCAACCGTTGTCAAGCTCTACATCAGCATGAGTTGCAGGGTCTACAAAAGTAAATCAACTCCATAAACTTCATTTCTGTTTCACCACACATTTTCCTCTGTGAACTTATCTTAAACAAAGATAAAATTTGTTTTGGCACCACAAATATATATTTAGGTGGTTCATTGAGAATGGCCTGGAAGCTTTTGGGATGACACCTGAAGATGTTTTGAGAGCTTATTTTTTGGCTGCCGCGTGCATTTTCGAACCAAACCGTGCCTCTGAGCGACTTGCATGGGCTAGAGTGTCAGTGCTGGCCAACACTATTTCTAGGCATTTTTACAGCGATATGTCAAGCATGAAAAGGATGGAGCGTTTCATGTGGAGCAGCCTCTATGAAGAAAATGGCAATGTTTTGGGGTGAGTACTGCGAAACTGAAATTCCTTGAAATTATGATTTTGCACCGTGCAGCATGATGATGGGTTTTTTTATGGATAGTTACTACTAATTGCTTCTGATGCTTGTCCTCTCTATGAGAAAAATGGGAAGCTGAATTGAATGGTAAATGGTTTCTATTTTGACAATCAAAAGAATGAATATATTAGGTTTTTTTATTTGAAGGGAGCACAAATTGTCCTTCAGCTCTTAAAATAAGAGGAAAACTAATGTTTTTCACCTGGAAAACAGTAAAGGAAGGTAAGTACGTAAAAGCATTAAAATGGAATGTTGAAAGTTACAACCATTTAAGAGGGACTAGTTTTTACAACATTTGGTAAATATATAGGTTTAAAAAAAACATTTGGTAAATATAAATTAGATCATGAACTCATTTCTTGAGAATTATTTGGAAGAACAATTTGTGATCATAGGATTATTACAAAATGACAGAAGAATATTCCAAACTTGGTATTTGTTCTATCCAGCCTAATATAATGCTTATATTTTTTTTATATAATAAAAGAGAAGAATGCTTGCCTTGGAGTACACCACATATTACAATGTAGCGATGTATCTAGAAAATTCTTATCATAATGCCATAAAATGTAAAAAAATCTACTAAGATTTTTCTCAGTATTTAACTTAAAATTGTTCGTTCAGGCTAGAAGGATATGCAAAAGATGGAATCCTTGCGAGGACACTTTGTCAACTTATAGATTTGTTGTCTCAAGAGACACCGCCAGTTCGAGAAGGTCAAAAGTGTATTCATAATCTCATAAGATGTGCTGTAAGTAAAACATAACTATAAACTTCTTATTACAGTGTTGTAGCCAGAAAAATGCTAAGATCTTTGTTTGCATTTCTAGTGGATTGAATGGATGATGCAACAAATCAATATGAAGGATGGCAGATATGACAAAGGCAGAGTTATGCATCCAGGGTCATGCACTGTTCATAATAAAGAAACATGTTTACTTATTGCTCAAATTGTTGAAATTTGTGCTGGACGAATTGAGGAGGCAGCATCTATGATAAATAACACCGAAGGTTCTTGGTTTATTCAACTTGCTTCCTCTATTTGCGATTCTCTTCATGCCAAGATGTTACTTTCACAGGTAACTCTTATACATTACATAGTCTGTTGACTAGAGTTTTATTCTGATACTAGTGTAATTTTGCAGTAGTTATATAAATTAAAGAATGGTGTAGGTTGTTTTTTGTTTGATCAAATTATGTGTATAGTGGTTAGAAAGTTTATTGTAAAACTTTATATGTTAGTATAGTTTCATCGATAAAAACTTCTCACCGACTTGACAAGCTGTATTCACTGAATTGGGCACGTTATAATCACTTGGATGATGAAAAACTAATTATAAAAATGAAATCAGCATTTGTAATAAATAGTTTTATATATTCTCCAGTATAGATGTTGTAACATGATAACAAGTCGGTACTTTGGTCCTGAACAATGCACTTTCAGTATAAATATATGAAATTCTTACAATCCTTGGGGGTTATTGCAATGTAGATGTACCTCCTAGGTACCACTACGAATAGGTGTCAAGAGGTAAAAAATAAGTAACAGTACAAAAGATAATTCTAACTCTCAAGGCATCTCCAAGGACTGAAGTTTTTTTTTTTAGCAGTTACATCAGAGCTATGGTTCTATTTACTATATTTGCTTCAATGTCAATGTATTCAGCTACTCAACTGTTGATACAATTTTGTAGGATACCAAGAAAAATGAGACAACAATAAATCAAATTGACAAGGAAATTGAGTTGGGTATGCAAGAACTTGCTCAATATCTTCTTCCAAGAGTTGATGATAGAAGAATTAACAACAAAACCAAGCAGACCTTCTTGAGCATTGTGAAAAGCTGTTACTATGCTGCCAATTGCTCACCACATATGCTTGACCAACACATTTCTGAAGTGATTTTTGAGCAAGTTATTTGAAATAAAGTTTAGGCAAATAGAGCATTTGTCAGATTGAATCGCATGTAAATATTTCTGTGCAGAAAAAATATGTAAAGAATGAGAGAGAACAAGCATATAAACAATAGTATTATTGTTGAAAGCTAACAATTTTTACATCAAGTGAATGATGTATCTCTGTATGGTTCTACATGTGGGACACATTTTCTATAAATTATTTATTTTGGGTTTGTTCTATGTCAAATTTCTTCGAGGTCGACCAAGTTTATAGAAAAATATAGTAACATCTATAACACCAAATTAGTTTCATTAAATCTATTATTGAATGTATTTTTATAGTATATTTATAGTGTTAGAAATATTGCTATATTTTTTTAATATTTTTTATCAAACTTAAAAGCTTTGACTTAGGACAAACCCAAAGTAACTTGCAATATGAAACCGACGGAGGAATGAGTAATGGCATTGCATCCAGCCCAGTCAAGGGTCTTGTTCTTTCGTTGTGACTGGTGGCTTCTATGAGTCCTCAGCTCCTTTGTTTTTTCATTGGCTGCCATGTTTTACCGATAAATTTGCTTCATATGTAATCACATAAGTCTATAAGAGCTACTCCCGCTGGTCTATAATTCTTGAAGTTTTGAAAAGATTAAGGACAAAATTCTATAAATTTGACTATCATTGACGTTTAGTTTATAGGCAGAAGAACAACATATATGAATTTGTCTTACAAAATAATATAATAAAATAAAAAAATATTTATTTATTGTATATATCATAATAGAAAAATATACTCAAAGATATATTTTGAAAACCATGTCATTGTCTTAAACGTGAACCAGAGGGAGATACCGAGAGTGAGAGTGAGAGTAGAGAAGGTAGAGATACATAAATGTTCATTATGTCGTTGCTGTAGTAAACTGAGCATTTATATAAAACTTATAATAGTAGTCGCTATGAAAATAAAGCATATACTCCCTCATTTCTAAATTGATTATCATATGTACCAAGACCAAGAATAATTTAAATCACATCAATCAAGACACCATGCACACATTCTCCCACAATACATGCATCGATTAAAACACCATGCTAATTACACCTTAGCATGCACATATTCTCCCATATTGTATTAGTTATATTATGATGAAATCCGTGTCCATGCAGTTATATGATGATCAATTTGAGAAATTTTGAATTCCATTATATGATAATCAATTTAGGAACTAGGGAAAGAGGTAGTAATAACTAATAGACATCCTCTGCAGCACTGCAGAGGACCTGCCTTCAATTGTTATAGCTTGCTTTACTCATCAAATTACGATTAGATAATATATGCTCTCCAACTGTTATGTCTCTTTCATTTTTTTTTCAAAACTTCATAACACTGTTTTTTCAGCATTATATTAAAATAAAGAATTTTCCAAACCAAAATGTCTAGAAAACTGTTTCACCAAACAAGATTATATTCCCCTTTTTTTTCAAACAATTATTTTCGTATAAAGCTCCATGAACAAAATTCTTAGTCAAGTATGGTTAAAAAAAAAACTTGGTCAAGTGCATGACCAAGTAATTAACCATGAAGCCACTAGCAGTTGGATGGTGATCCAACGGTCAAGGATCAGGTCACAAATTCACAATGTCACACACATTGTAAGATGAACAGCAGGACTGGTATAAAAACAGAGCAATTCACTACTCTGCTCTGCTCTCTGTTCTTCTCCTCTGATCTCATCCGATTCATGGGCCGATTTGGGCCACAAATCAGCCTCGAAATCGTGCGACAAACTGCATCCCAACACCGATTTTTCTGCGACCTCGGACGGATAATTGAACTAGGTTCCATCTTTGACTTTGATATATGAATATGGATACATGAGGATAGTGTGTCCATGCAAGGCACACTTCCAAATGTCAACGCCAACCTTGGAGGGTGAATTAACTCGTTAATTAACCTAACACACCCATGAAAATAGGTATCGGTTTCTGGTCAAGAAGATTTTACACCTCAACAGCTAGCTGATACGAATACTGCCAAGATTGATTTTCCTCGTCGATTGGAATGCCAGCTGGTGATCTAATTGATTCATTAGTTCGTCGGGCCAGCTGACCTTGATCACTCTCTTCAAGAAGCTTAAGCTTCCATGTCGACGGCGAGCGAAACCCTAGCTAAGCTACCACTATAAATAAGCAAAGCTGCAGCTAGCTAGCTATCGCCATTGGAGCTAAGCTTGGAGCTGAGAAGAAGTGAACAACATGTATAGCTCGGCCACGATGAGCAGCTCTCCAGCAATGGTGGCGATCGCGCTGTTCCTCCTCCTCGTCGTCGCCGGCGCCGGCGCCGGCGCGCAGGGAGGAGATGCAGGGTCTTTGCCGCCGGCGCCGGCGGCGACCGGCGAGTGGGTCCCGATCGGCGGCGACGTGATCAGGGGCGACGGGTTGTACCGGCAGGTGGCGAGGTTCGCGCTGGTGGTGCGGATGCTGGCGTTCGGGGCAGCGGAGGGGGAGCTGACGCTGGTGGAGGTGGTCGCCGGGAGCGTGCAGGCCGCCGGCGCCGGCAACAACTACCGGCTCCTGCTGCGCGCGGCGGGCGGCGTGGGGACGTACGAGGCGGTGGTGTGGGGCGTGCCCGGGTCGACGGGGTGGACGTGGAAGGTGCTCTCGTTCCGGCGCGTCGCCGGCGACCAGAACTAGCTCGTAGCATGCATGAAAACGAATTAGAAGCAGATTTAGACGATTTTGTTAGTAGCAGATTTGCCGTGGTCATTGTTTCCAATTAGTAGTAGTATTCATCGTCCTGTGTGATCTCTAGTTTTGTTAATTGTCTCTGAATTATCATCGATCTCACTGTCTCACACGAGGTATTAATTTCTTGTTTGCTGGAATATTAACGAAAACAACAAATATATGGGATGAAGAGGGCTCCAACTGCTTCAACCGTACCTTTGCCAACGGCCAAGCACATAACAGTGAACAGCGATGTTATATGAAACATGTGCAAAACAATTTACTTAAAATCAGGACAGAAAAATTATGTACACAATTGTCGATATGTCCGAGTGGTTAAGGAGGTAGACTCGAAATCTACTGGGCTCTGCCCGCGCAGGTTCGAATCCTGCTGTCGACGTTTTTGCCTCCATTCCACTTGCCTCTGCCTTGTGTGGTTTTTTGAACTTTTAATAACTATATACTCCAAATTTCCAACGGTTTACCTTTTTCGAATTTTCTAAATACGTTTAATATTTTGAAGAATTCTTTTTGTTTTGGTATTAAACTATATTTCTATGTCATTTAAATCCATTCGAAATCTAATCTAATTAAGATTGAAAATTAACAGTTTTGGTAGTTAGAGTTGAATAACGCCTGGTCTTGAACATGTTTTTCAATACTTAATGTAACCGTTGCAAAGTACTAGTATAGTTTTCTCTTTCGCTTATACATATATAAAATTCAAATACCATTTGAAATATTATGACCAAAGTTAATATAGTTTGACTAAATTGTGTTCTAAAACACATGCATTTCTAAATGAGGGAGCATCATTCATCACGTACCTTACATCTCTTTTTCGATATACATGTTGATTTCTTCTCTTTCGCTTTGCAAAGTTAATTCAGACAAAAAAAATCTTTTTCTTTTCTTTTTTTATTTTTGAGAAGCAGAGTACAAATGCACACGATCATAATGCGCTCAGCTTCAGATCTAGTACAAGTCGATGGACCTGTTCAGTGCAGCTTACTGCTGCAGCTGTATCACAGTATACAGACACATCATAAGCTGCACCGAATAGGTCCCATATCTTTTTCAATATATTTTAAAGAGTAAAGTGCATTGGCGGTTCTTAAACTTGTAAGATTGTGTCATATAGGTTTCTAAAGTCTTAAAATACATATCCAGATCCCAGAACTTGTCAAAGTGTATCATCTAGGTCCCAAATCGATACATCCCCTCTAGGATCCTACGTGGCGCTGATGTGGCATGCCACATGGACGTGCCGTGTCATTTTATTTTTTTTCTTCTTTTCTTTTACTTTTTCTTCGTTTTTCTTCTCATTCTTCTTTTTTTTCCTTTCTTCTGCTCGGGTCACACAGAAAGGAGAAGAAAGGGAAAAAAAGAGAAGAAAAAATTTTAAATGGGACCCATTTGTCAGTCAAAATGATGCCACGTCATTCCGTGTGGCATGCCACATCAACGCCATGTAGGATCCTGAAGGGGTTGTGGCGATTTGGGACCTAGATGACACACTATGACAAGTTCTGGGACTTGGACGCATTTTGAGAGTTTAGAAATCTGTATGACACATCACTACAAGTTTAAGGACCGCCCGTACACATTACTCTGTTTTAAAATATACATGAAAACAGCCATGAAACACGGATTGGTGACTAGTGATATCTATTAACAAACGATTTAAGCATAGAATCAAACCCAAAATAACATTTCAAATGTAGCACGCCTAGTACAGTACTGACTTGTACTGATTCTGGCTAGAGGTTTCATACATGCATCTAATAAGCTTTCATTCCGAAGTTTTCTATGACTATATGAATAAACGCAACTTCACAAGTTATACCATTTTTAGGCGATACCAAAGGATCACCAGTTCATCAGGCAGAGACCCTCGTTAAAACAACTCTCTCTTCGATACCTGTTTATCACCTCACAGTCCTACATCAAAACAAATGGCTTTACAAGAAGATCGATTGTCTCAGGCGGGCTTTTCTTTGGAAGGGAGACGACCCTGAAAAAGTGAGCAGGCAGCAGCCTTGTTAACTGGCAGAATGTTTGCAAACCAAAATCCTTAGGAGGGCTTAGTATTCTTAACTTGGAAAAGTTCTCGCGTGCATTGCGTCTGCGTTGGCTCTGGTTTGGCTGGAAAGATGAACACAGGCCTTGGCAAGGAATGGGACTTCCTTGTAATGATCTGGATAGAGTGCTGTTCAGAGCTGGAACAGTGATTACTCTGGGGGATGGAAGAAAATGCTCCTTTTGGTCTGATAACTGGCTACTAGGACAATCGCCCAAGGATATTGTTAGTGATATGCCCTAAAGGCAATTATAGAGATGATTGTATCACATACTATGTTTACATATTTATCCGACATTGTTCCTTGAAATAGATAACTCATTATTGGTTAATGAATATGTGATTCTTTCATGAGACTCTTTATGTTATGTGTTGCTATTTCTAAAGGATCCCTGATCAAATATCATATGTGGAACAAATATGTTTATATGATCAGCACAAGTATTAATTAATGATCATGTCTCATGGATCATGGTATAGAGATACCAAATTAATAATGTGGACACATGTTGGTGAACATGTTGTTGGATAGACCCAACATGAGACACTGCAAGAGCCATATGTGTTATGTCATCAGTGATCTCATTGAGTGTTGGTGTTGAATCCTTAGACCTGAGATTATCATGGTTCTCAACATGTGTAGTAGATTACTTAGGGACTGCTAAACGCTACTCCGTAATTGGGTAGTTATAAAAGTAGTTTTCGGGTATGCTATGAAATATGTAGTGGGATACGAATAATCAAGATGAGATTTGCCCCTCCTATGGAAAGATATCTCTGGGCCCCTCGATGTTGTAGATTATGGAAGTGCATGGCCATGCCAAAGGTGATTGAGGAGTCAATCACAAGTTATATAATCTATCAACAGGTTTGAGTGAATGATTGAGCTATTAGAGGATGGCACATATCTAGCCTTGAGCTTAATCGATATCGTGAGGCAAAGGGGTTCATACAAGTACACTAGAGGTTCAGCCGATATGATCTTTATGTATGCCCGGTGGGTCAATACGTTCTGCTAGGGGCCGCTGTTGAAGCGTGGACCGAAAAGGAGTTTTCGGGTTACAACCGAGTATATATGAACCTACAGGGTCGCACGCTTAATGGGCCGGAATAAGGGGATTGGATAGAGATCCATTATAAGCTTAATTCGGATAGGGATCCGAATAGGAGTTCTACGGGCCTTGGAGGCCCGAGTGATGAATCCTATATATTCGTGAGGGGTGTGACCGGCAGAGGCATTGAATCACGTGAGAAACCCTAGCCGTCACTTCCCTCCCCGAGCAAAACCCTAGCCGCGCGCGAGTGCTAGCACATCTGCGCGTGGCGTTCCGTCCCTGTACATGTGGATACCGGTAGAGGCGCCGCTAGTTTGCGGTGCTGATCGGCGTGGGAGTACGGCGAGGAGAACGCACGAGGAGGAGAAGGTCGAGCCGGTGCGATCGACTACTTCCTCTACATCGACGCGCGCTACTTCGCGAGAGTTCCTTCGACTTCTCAGCGTCTTCTTCCGCTGCGCAGCGCGTCGAGTGGTAACAATCTATGATCTAATACTTGCATGGTTCCTGGTTTACGCGATAGAAAATTTTGATTTATGCTATCGTAGCCTACGCATATCCCAACAAATATTGCCCTAGAGATTTTCAGGCTTTCCAAGATAAAGATCAACAACGTAAAGCTCAGCTTAGAAAATAATCACTGGCTTGCAATCCTTAATCCCATCACATCTATAGAGGAGATAGATGCCCTGGTGCGGCTTGGAAGCTACCTGCAGGAGGTCACGCTCAACACAAATGTGCCAGATGACATCTTTTGGAAGTGGACTGCGAATGGAGAGTGTACAACAAAAAGTGCCTATGAAGCCCAATTCTCCGGAACAACCACAAACCTAAATTTCTCCCCTCTTTGGAAGGCACAGGCTGAACCAAAACAACGTTTCTTTGGCTGGCTCATTTTACATCAAAAAACTCTCACATCAGAGAATTTGTTAAGAAGACATTTGCCTTGCGACTGGATCTGCAGCCTTTGTTCTGAAGCTTTCGAGGATGCGAATCATTTGGCAAAGGGGTGCATTTTCACAAGGAATGTGTGGAATCGGCTATGCAATTGGTTAGGTTTTAACCAATCTCTTTTCTCTCCGCAAAATGAAGATATCTCGGTATGGTGGGATTCTATGCTCCATTCAGTGCAAGAAAAAAGAGCGAAGAAAAGGATGGTAGGGGCACTACTCACCACTTGGTGGCATGTTTGGCTGGAGCGCAACCATCGAATTTTCAATCAGCAATCTCAGACCGAGCTGCAAGTAGCACACCTAATAAAAGAAAACATAGATCTCATAGAGCTCCCAAAAAAGACTAATGGCTAACGCTTTGCGGAGCTTTCCTAGTCGTTATCATCTATCTCTGTAATCGACGATCTGATTGTCCCTTTCCCCTAGTTTGCTTTTGTCTTTGCTCGCTGATTGTAATGATTGGCAACCTTTATTCCTTCTAATATATCCGGCAGAGCTCCTGCCGTTTAATGTTTCAAAAAAAAAAGGATCACCAGTATGCATGGAGCCTCTATCGACCAGAGTGGCTAAAGAAACCAGACCTGGTCAAAGTTGTATGCAAATGGAGACTAGACCTCCTATGCAAAGTGATCCCCATCACCTCACTCATGTCGAGTGATTTGGGGCTCACCCCATCAGGAAGTGCCCAGTCAAAGTGGTAAAGGAGGTTCGCTAATGTGAGCTCAAGTGTGGTGGTCGCGAGCAACGCTCCAGGGCATTGCCTGCATCCAGCTCCGAATGGGATGAACCCTAAGTGTGCGATAGATGTCCTGATATCTGCGCCGCTATTCTCGAATCTCTCTGGCTTGAACTCCTCCGCATTGTCCCAGTACTTTGGGTCCCTTGCTACGGCGAATGTGTTTATTAGAACAGGTGTCGCTTGTGGTATGTCATAGCCCATAACACGACAGTTCTCCCTGCTCTGTCGTAGAATTAGTGCAGAAGCGGGATGCAGCCGTAAGGTCTCCTTGATGACCATACATAAGTAGTGTAGCTCACTAATGTCGATGCCAATCAATTTGCCTTTTTCATGGCCAAGCGTGTTTCGAACTTCCTGTTGTGCCTTATCCATTGCTCTTGGATTCCTCATAAGCTCCACCATAATCCATTCAAGTGTGGAAGCTGTGGTATCAGTAGCAGCTCCAAAAATATCCTGAAAATTAATTATTAGCATATAACCTAAATATATTATAACATATGCGTTTTGATTATTAAGGCAATTTTTCAAAATATTTAGGGGTCTATCCATATGATTTGCCAAAAAAACTTGTCTAAATTATAGTCAAATTAAAAAAAAGGTGAAATATTATAGTGTATGGATGACGAAAATACTAGAACAATTAATGCATATCTATATCAGTGAAAGGTAAAAATACAAAATCCAACGGGAACAAGCCACATATAAGCAACAGAATAGTGACACCAGTATGCATGACTCATAAAATGGAAGAGGAAGAGGAAACGATGGACACGAAGACAATGACCCATAAATGATGAATAAATACAGATAAAAAAAGATTAATAAATACTAACCCAACCTGTTGCACTCACCATCGGTAAAAGATGGGTGGGGCATTTCATATTGCACTATTTACTTCTTCATTCCATAATATAAAACACAACTATATCCTTTTATATGTTTCATAATACTAAAAAAATACCCGTGCGTTGCAACAGGTGAATGTTATTTTAATCTTATTGTTCTTATATGGTTTAGCTAGCTAGGGTAAAATTCAGTGTGGGAATTCGCTTGTAATTTCTTTATGAAAATCATGAGCTACAATTAGGAGTCCGACTTTCTTCTCAAGTTAGCATGCAGAGTTTTTTTAAAACAGAATTCTTATATGACTCCTTTTGTATATCCAAAAGCAAACGAGTTTAAAATCCAACTCAAACACGGATATGTATTTCCAAAAGCGAACGATCTTAAAAACCGACTCAAAAATAGATGACGTACCAAAATACCGGCTAAAACATCTTCAATTTTTATAATAGTAGAGATAAGACATGTATACAATTAACTAGCACATTCTCTCCATTAATTTATTTTTTTAAAATCCTCTATCCTTAAGATTTCTAAACTTATTGGGTGCATCATTATATTTAGTAGGATGATCCAAACTAAGAGGTGATAATAATTGGGTTAAGTGTGGTTATACCTTATATTTCTTATATTTTAGAGTGAGTATAATATTAGAACTACTTTAGAGGAAAGTAATGGAAACGAACATGCAACTTCATATACTAAGTTTATTGAATAGTAACTAGTTAGAGCAATGTCAATAAGAGAGCCCACTGATGGCCACATCACCTATAGCAAAAAAAATATAGCCAATGTATATAATAGAAATATCTTATTGTAATACGAACATTCTATTAACTTCATAGGGCCCACCATCCTCTTCACTTTCTTCCTCCTTTACTTTAGCTTCTCTTCCTCTTATGCAAATGATGCAACTCGAGTAACCAGTGAAGACGATGGCTAGGAGCGCGCTAGAGCGGGGTTGCGTCAACAGCGGCAGATGCGGGCGGCGGCGGCGGCTAGAAGGATGCAAGCGACGGGCAAGACACGGGCGATGGCGCGGTGCAGATGACGGCGGCAGCCGTTGCAGATCCAGGGGGAGAGGGTCATGGCCTTGCGGGCGACGGGCAAGAGCGGCAGCCACGGGGACGCGGGTGAGTGCAGTGGCGCGAACGATGGGGAAGAGCGGCAGCTACGGTGGATGCCACTGGCGAGGATGAGGGAGATGCAGCGCGCGATGGTGGCAGTGATGGGGGATGCAGTCTAGCATAGGTCTGGGTGGTTGAGGTGATGACTAGGCAGCCGCTGTTGGAAGCTAGGATGGACGAGGGTGTCGGCGGGGGTCAGGACGGACGCAAGAGACGCCGCGGGGGACAGGGGGTGGCGATTCGGTGGACGCAAGAGATGCCACCGACCGTAGTGGACATGGGGTAGCGATTCGGCGCCGACCGCTGGGCTAGACGAGGGCGGTCGTCCGACACACATAGGAGATGATGGCGACTAGGTTGGCTAAGGGCGACGACCGCAATGGATGAAGGCGCCTGCCCGGCAAACGCAAAGCAGCCATGGTGGAAACCAGAGGCGTATGATGCTCTCCATCTACAGACAATGGGCCCACAATCTCGGCAGCGTGAGCAGCTTGGTGACAAATTAGTCACTCGTCGGTTCCCTCTATCTTCCCCTCTCTCCTCCATGTCATCCAAAAATCCTACGTGTAACTGCTGTCACCGGTTATTGCATTTGCTCTTAGAGCATCCCAACAGCTCATCCAAATTTGATCCTCCATATGCCTAAATGGATGGTCATCCAAAAAAGATTTCTCCTTCATTTCCCCTCCCACTCTAACCGATCATACATATTACATTCTCCATATCACATCCTTCTATATTTTAGTAATATTTTCCAACTACCATACACTTATATATTATATTTGAAGGACTATATTTCATCTTTATATCTTTTTCTCTATTCTTCTCTATCCTTCTTTGCTCTTTTCTCTAATATGACTCCGCAGAGCAGTCGGGGCGGCCAGTAGGAGCGGAGGTGCGCAGGCGGCTGGCGGGCGCGAAAGCGGCCGTGGAGCCGCGTAGGAGACGGTAGGGGATGCTGAGGTGGGTGGGCGGCATAGGCGGCGTACGGCACGGAAGTAGCCGAGGTGGCTAGCGGGCACAGAGCCGCGCAGGCGATGACGGCGGATGCTGAGGCGGGCGGGTGGCACAGACTACCGGCGGGCGTGGTAACGCGCAGGCGACGGCGGCGAATGCTGAGGCGAGTAGGCGACCGGATTGGAAGCGGCGGCAACGGCTACAGCGAGCGGGCGCAGAAGTGGCTGCGGCAGCCAGCGGGCGACGACAATGACGAAGGGGAGGTTGATCCGTAACTCCAGATGAGGGCGGAAGCGCAGACGTTGAGACATGGCATGAGGAGAAAATCACTTTGGCCGAACTCTCTCTGATTTGGTATCGTCTATTTTTGGAGTAGGCCTCGATGCCGTATTTGCTGGAGCGCCGTTTTCTTCTCCCGTGCGCTATATTTCGGATGGACTACCGGATGAAGGATCTGCTGGGATGCTCTTAGAGACGAAGAAACATGTAAAGGGTATATAGGCAGTTACTCACGGTAACAAGGGCGGCGATGACCTCCGCCGTGAGAGGGGAGGTGAGGCCGTCTTCCTCCTGCAGTCTCAGCAGCACGCCGAGCAGATCATCGTCTTCGTCTTTCGCGCCGACGCCGGCGTCACTCCCCTTCTTCTCCTTGCGCTCCTCGATGATCGAGCCGACGATCCTCGCCATCTCCGCGTGGCTCCTCCTCAGGCGGCGCTCGGTGCGGCGGCTCAGCCACCGCACCACGCGCGACGACGGGAACAGGTCCACCATGCTGTACCCGGCCACCAGCGTCGTCAGCACGCCGAGCTCCCGGCGGTACTCCTCCTGCCGCGCGCACTTGCCGCCGAACACCGCCCTCGCGATCACGTCGTTCGTCAGCGCCGCCAGCGCCCGGGTCATGTCGACGGCGGCGGCGTTGCTGCTGCCGGCGATGATGGAGTCGACGAGGCGCGACACCTCCTCCTGACGGATGGACTCGAGGCGGCGCACCTGGCGCGCGCTGAGGAGCTCCGCGAGGCAGACCCTGCGCGCATGGCGCCAGTGCTCGCCGTAGGGCGCGAAGATGACGCCCTTCCCGCCGAAGCTGACGGCGTCGACCGTCGTGCTCCGGGCGCGGTCGGCGAACGCCGGGTCGCGCGCCTTGAGCACCTCCATGGCGGCGTCCGACCCAGAGACGATCACGGTGGGCACCTCGCCGAGCCTCACCAGCATCAGCGGGCCGTGCCGCCGCGACAGGCGGAGCAGCGCGCGGTGTGGCGGCGACGCGCCGAGGAGGTGGTGGAGGCTGCCGATGACGGGGAGGTTCCATGGCCCCGGAGGAAGGTTCTTGGCTCCGGTGGTTGCTCCCTTCTCGCCGCCGCGGCGATGAGCTCCCATGACCATGAGCGCCAACGCGAGGGCGAGAGTGGCCATAGCGACCATGCACAAGCTTCCGAAGGAGAGCTCATCCATGGAGATTGGAGAATGGTTTTCGATCGACAGCTCATCCATGGAGGCATAAGGGATAAGGCAAATTATCGATGGTGACCATGGAAATATCTGATGATCGGGTCACTGCACTGTGCCAATCAGCAGACCATCCAGTGGCGGAGAAGGGTTGCCTTCTCATACTGGAGAGGGTTACCAACCGGGAACAGTGCGCGCGGAAAACGGAGTGGTCTATTAGCATGTGATTAATTAAGTACTAGCTAGCTAATTTTATTTTTTAAAAATGAACCAATATGATTTTTTAAGCAACTTTCGTATAGAAACTTTTTTGCAAAAAACGTACCGTTTAGCAATTTGAAAAGCGTGCGCACGAAAAACGAGAGGAGAAAGCCTGTGTTCGAAGCTCCAAGTTCCTAACTCCCTTGCTTCGTTTCCACGCGCACGCTTTTCAAACTGTTAAACGGTGCGTTTTTTGCAAAAAAGTTTCTATACGAAAGTTGCTTAAAAAAATCATATTGATCTATTTTTTAAAAAAGAATTAGAAAATACTTAATTAATCATGTGCTAATGGACCGCTCCGTTTTCCGTGTGTACTGTTTTGCTAGGGAACCTTTGATCCTGCAATCAACAAGAAAGAAAGAGAAAAGAAACCGCGGTAAAATCTATAAACGATAGCCAATTGGCCAGTCGCCGATGACATATCATTTATCTTCAAGCCGGTGTCATATGTGAATCGATCGGCAGTTATAAATAAGCAAAATAAGACTAAATCTAATCAATCGACAATGCTATAAGCGTTTATAATCTTTATGTTAATGTATACTTCGATCTAAGACGAACACAACCAAAGTTGGGAACCGGTAGTGCCGAACACGTGTGGTTTTAGACTTTGAGATTGTATGATATGAACAACAAAAAGAACTGTCATGATCATGTTTTTCTAACGTCACCGAATACTTACAAAAATATTTGATATGTCGTTGCACAAGCATGGATTTTTAAATTTAACTTTAACCAATAGAAAACGAATATGAATGTATGCTAGCTATAATTTAATATGTTCTTTTGTTTGTAAGAACGAATACCCGAAAACCAAGTCCACATAGAGGCATGAATGATAGGAACACCAATTAAAAGTTGCCCTTAAATTTCACAAAGTCCATGGCTGAGTCCAAGACTGTCAGATCACCGGTCAAACCGCACCAATTTTGTAGGTCTAACCAGAAGAAAGCCACCGGTCCAACTGCCTTATGAGGCTATGAGCCACCGTTGTCTGAAGTCGCAGCCGGTCTAACCGAGCCCACACCGCTGGTGATGCCTTGTCGGTCTAACTGATGCCTTCTCGTCAGTCTGACCACCGAGATCGAAGACAAACTCAAACCGAAGACTCTAGGAAAGTAGATCAACTTTATTGCTCTTAATTGTGTTTACAAAGTGCGACAACAACAATTCTTTCTCAACTTTCAACTAAACTCAAAATCTTGGCTAAACCCTATTTTTTTCTCTCAACTAGTCTCTATAAAAATCGATACCAAGAGGCTTTAACCCCTCTTATTTTTTATACCTGAGATGGCTACTCAAAAGCCACGGATTGAATCCAACTTATACGAGTAGTCCTAATCCACTAGAAAACCTTTCTATACAAGTATCCAACTTATCGCATTACAATTCAAACTCCAATATTCTTAAATTTAGACTTCTTCCAAATTCAACTCCACAATCGATCACTATTTACTCAGCCTAAAATCTTGTTCACCATGCGATCACTATTCACAATATTTGTTTGGTCTGACCAATACACAAAACCCCCTCTGACCGGCTCTGCTTAGAGAACAAAACCACTTCGACAATTATCTCCAAATATCAAAACCAATTATCTCATAACTCAATTTTTTTCATCCAAAAAAAATCAACATATACTTTGATTTCACATCTATAACTTGTAGGTCTAGCAGTCGAATTTAAACTTATATGTTTCTGATGTGAGCCTGTGCTGTCAGAGTCAGGGTTTACATTACTATCGGTAACCGTACGGTTAGTGGCCTTACCGCGGGGTACGGTAATAGAAAAACCATTGTAACCTCCTTAAATTCAAATAAATTTAAAATTAATTTGAATTTTTGATAAATTTTGCACGGTTTCGTACGGTTTTTCACGGTTACCACGCGGTTGAAGGTGCACTTAAACCCCCTAGTGGGTTTTGGTGATTAATGACAAGATGGTTAAAGGGGACTAACGTGTTTATCAAGTTTATTCATAGGAGTTTAGTCCCAAAGCAAGTTGTGATGGCTAAGAATGCAAGGAAACCCCCCCAATTTGAATGTTCCTAAGTGCGAAAAACACCGAAGGTGATTAGACTAGGTTTTTCACTTTCGAAATTGAGTTTAGGAAAAACCGTACTATTAAGAGGGGTTTCAAGTGTGGTTCTAGGGTATACAAAGTGCTCTTAGTCATATCCATGAGTCAAAAGATTTTTTGAATCATTTTTGAAAAATGATTTTCTCCCCGGGACAGAGAGGGCTACCCGGAGGTTCTGGCCGAAACTTCCGGGCGCCGTTTCAAAGCAAAAATTTTCCTAAGTGCTGCCCGGAAGTTCCTGACACTTTTGCCCGGAACCTCCTGGCAGGTTTCCAGTTCAAACTTGTGAGTAATGGCTAGATGACGTCACCTAGCCATTATATATATGGATTTCGTCTCCAGGTCACCCTTTGGCCATTCCACTTCAGCTCTTTTATGTTCTAGGGTTTTCTAGCCACTCCCAAGCTTCCTTTGCTTCCTCTACTCAAATCTAGAGCCTATCTTGTGAGATTGAGAGATTAGATGAGAGTGTAGGAGTGTTTTGGAGATGGCTTGAAGATTAGTTTTGATTGAGCACTTTGGATACCTTGTGGGCTGTCACTTGGGCTTATTACTCTTGGAGATCTTCTCCTAGACGGTTAGGTGTCGCCTGTGAGCTTCCAAAGATCTTGTGGATGTCCCGGGAAAGTTTGTGAAGGTTTTCCTCACCTCCGCAAGGAAACGAGGTAAGTGAGTAAAGATTCTTGTGCTGAGTTTTCAGAGGTTGTCCTAGGTAGAGCAACTTGTACTTGTGGTCTTTTCTAGAAGGAATTGTGAGTTGGATCTTGGTGGTCACTCAATTCTAGAAAACGACCTAGAAGTGTTGAGTTGAAGGCTGTGGACCTCTTCTGGGATCTTTGCATAAGTGAGGCAAGGGGTAAATCGAGACCCGGCTCTTTGGAGCACCTCAACGGAGAGTAGGATCCGTGTGATCCGAACTTCGGGAAAAAACACCTTTATCTCTCTTGTGCATGATCTGTGTTTGAATCTGCTGATATCCTGTGATCTTCATCTTGTGCAACCCTGTGCGTGATTTTCCCTAGCTAGGACCTGTTATTCTTCTCATATTTCGTTTATCTCTGTTGCCCGAAAGTTCCTGGCTCAAGAACTCCGGAATTTCCGGGCTACTCATCACTGCCCGGAAGTTTCAGTGTTCATCACCAGGAGGTTCCGGGCCCTGTCAATTTAACCGCTGCGTTTGTTGAGAAAATTTCAGGAAAGCCTATTCACCTCTCCCCTCTAGACTACATCTCTTCACGTTCAATGTGGTAATCGTGCTTACCGCTGGGACGCGGTAACCCCGGGCCTGGCGGTTTGGGAAACCCTGGTAGGAGTATCACGTATTAGTATATCTTATAAGGAGAAATAATAAATTTACTCTTTTTCTTAAGTATATAGATGGCCATCTGAGCGGCACAGCCCAGGCACGGCCGTGCTCGGGCCAGAATCTATCGGGGTGGCACGGCCCGACCAACACTCCAGGCCGTGCCGTGCTAGCCCACGGGCTGCACCTCAGGCCAAGGCACGACACACTAGTAGTCAGGCCATGCCGTGGCGACCCGAAGGCACGGGCGGTCCATCGTGCCTTCTTTAAAATAAGTCTATTTCCCATCCCTCCTCTTTGGGCTGTGACATATATATATAGCTAAAATAAGTCTTTTTTACATCCCTACTCTTTGGGCCGTGCCATATAATAAGTCTATTTTTCCTCCCTATTCTTTGTGACGTGCCTTACATTTGGTTGAGAATAAGTCTGTTTCGCATCCCTGAACTTTGGGTAGGGCCGTGCTGGCCCAGCGTACTGAGGTAGCAGCCCAAGCACGGCACGGCTGTTGAGCCGGGCCGGCACGGGCACGACCCGAGTCGAGCCATGCCGTGCCTGGGCCGGGCCAAAATCACCGGGCCTTGGGCGGGCCATCGGGCCTCGGAGCATATGGCCATCTGTATATATGTCAGAAGCCCCTCGAGAGTCGAGAGCGCAGAATCAATTCTCGTTTAATAAATGTCATAATTAAATACTATATCAGTTTTGCCAAAGGAAAAATTATTTGGTTACGTTGCTGACTAAAGTAGCACACCCTGGCGACCTCCCTCAGTCCCTCTATATCTCCGTCGTCGCGGCCACGCCGCCACCTCCTAACACCTGTGTTGCCGCCACCTCCTCCCTCCCCTCGCGGTCGCGGGGGCGCGCGTCTGGTCATGGTGGCGGCCGCCGCAGCTTCGAACCCTAACCTGTCAAGAATGGGAATCTTCTCCCACCAGTCGGGATTCTTGAAGGCCAGGAATGATTTGGTTACCTCGAGGAATCAATCATTCCCAGGCTCCAATCATTTTCTTAAGAAGAGGTACAGATTCCCTATCAATTCCCTTTATTTGCTTGCTACTCCAACGATCGAAGCCCTGACGGCGGAGACGCGAATCTGGCTTTCGTATACAATTTGCAGGATTGGTGTTTCTCTTAACTCTATCCTAATTTCTGCACTGCGTCGTGGTTCGTTAAGTATCCTGGTAAATTCTTTCACCTAGTTCAATCACATTAATCAGCATTGCCTTTGCTTTTATCATCTTGCTAAAATAATTAAGTACCCAAGGAAGAAGCCAAAAAGTTCTTCATTTTCTTTTCACTGATCGAATCACATGAAAAAAGCTAGAAACAACACTCCGTTGTATAAGAAACTAGGAATTGAAGGTCTCTTGCACGCGGAAGTCTGGGGCCATTGACTGACTCCAGTAATCCTGTAATGACCATTTGGAAGCACGACAATCTTGATGGACAGTAGGTGTCATGCTAGTGTCATTGACCTGATG